GAAGGAGACAGCTTAAGCTCTACTTAGAACCACAAGTTAGTTACTGCATTAGCGCTTTACTGCAAAACAAGGAAGGAGACAGCTTAAGCTGTACTTAGAACCGCAAGTTAGTTACTGCAATAGCACTTTAGTGCAAAAACATGGAAGGAGACAATTGAAGCTCTACTTAGAAACACACTTCGAAAGCAAGAGCGCAGGTACATCCAGCTGGCCAAGCTGGATATCCCATTTCACTGGTAGCTTCATTGGACACAGTCCAAGTGAAATGCTGCGTCCCACTGCAGGTCTGTACACGGTAACAGATTAAAGGTTAAACGGGGAATTCTACCTAGACGATGATACACACAGACACACACACGCACACACACTTCGACCCATGCTCGCAAGAGCTGAGTCAGTTTGGATTCCGCTCTAGTGATTACATTACCGGTTTAGAGCGCTGAAGCCGGATACCTGAGAAACAGCCCTGAGAGGGAACGGCAAGGTGACTAAGTCCGAAACAATTTTGCTTGTATGATTTGATTGCAGCTCCACTCTAGTGATTACATTACCGCTTAGTGCGCTGGGCAACTTGAGACCTGAGGTGAGGTGGGGGGTGTCTTCGATGGGCGGAGATCCGCCCCTGCTTATCTGTACAGCTTGAAACCTAGAGGGATTAAGGTGGAATTAATGTGGTCGCGCTGCTTGGAAGCAGGAGTTGGCACACACACATAGCCGTATCGGCCGTATCGGCGCTCCCTTGACTGAAAAATTGACCTGAAGCCTAAAAAGCCTCTAGCAACGAAGGAAAAGACGAAACAACGAAGGGGAGAAAGCAAGACCGTGCATGAATTATATATTCAGTGTGAAACTTCCACGTGAATCCATTAGTTGCATGACGTGAAAGAAACCTAAACTACGCATGAAGAGCCTCTAGCAACGAAAGAAGACCGAGAAAATGAAGACAAACAGCAAGAAAGAAAACAAGAAAACATCAAAGTGAATACACTAGCCGCTGAGTGAAACGTACAAGTGATTACATTAGCAGCGTGGCATGTCATTCTTTTGAGTATATGTCAGTGAGCCCTGCGGCAAATGAGCAGCAATCTCAATAAAGGACGAATGGCCGGTAAGGATCAAGCAGAGCTGAAAAGCCTGTGAAAAATCACCCTTAAGGGTCTATGCTCAAAGCGCCCCGAAGGGATCACACAGCACACCGCAGTGGGACGACGCTGCGGCACACACTTCGATCCATGCCCGCAAGAGCTAAATCAGTTTGGAACTCCGCTCTAGTGATTACATTACCGGTTTAGAGCGCTGAAACCCGATAACTGAGAAACAGCCCTGAGAGGGAACGGCAAGGTGACTAAGTCCGAAACAATTTTGTTTACATCATTTGAGTGCAGCTTCACTCTAGTGACTACATTACCGGCTTAGAGCCCTGGGCAACCTAATAAGTTAATAAGTCCGAAACAATATTGTTTACATTTGAAATTAAAGGAAAATGCCCAGGTACGTTTACACCCAGTTGGGGGGTGTCTTCGTTGGCCGGAGACCTCCCACCTAGCTCCGGCCCCCCTGCTTATCTGCACAGCTTGAAACCTAAATGGATTAAAGTGGATTTAATATGGTCGTGCTCCTTGGAAACAGGAGTTGACACACACACACACAACCAGTCGTTCGGAAAAGGCAGCCAAGTCGATGTATGTGCGCCACGTCCTTCCAAATCGACCAGAGTAAGACGATATGTTCAGGAACCAGAGCCTTTCGGGACTAATGTTTCAGTTTTTTGTGTTTGCTACGCCCTTTGTGACTATGTTCTGGTAAGTTGGCATTTCTTTTACAAGTTTGATCGGCAAAACAACATAAGAACCTTGAAAGAACGGCATGACTTGGTTGGAATTGTTTCATTGGTTGCCTAATTTTCCAACAAAAATTAAAAACAAACATGAACAGGAGGCTTGCAGCCGGAGACCACGCTCATGGCTGTGAAGAAGATGTGGAACAAAAACTCTTGGGTCGTGCGTTCTTCCACTGTTTCCAGGTGTTTCCAAGTGTTTCCAGGTGCTGGCAGTATGACCTTAACATTTCGATCATCGGTTTCGTCAGCTCTTTCTGGCCACGCTGCGGTGCCCATCGGATGTTCTGCCATATGCCCCAGGGCTGTCCGGAAACACTGGCATCTTTGCCAAAGCCTGGGCATCCCTTACATGCCGCAGGCAGGGCTTGGACAGATGATCAGCTGAAGTGAGATTACCCTTGTACTTGCAAGCTGCTATGGCAACAGTCTTTGGGTTTGTAAGCAAGGGGTGTGTGGGGGGGGGGCGCAGGCCGAGGAGGCCCTCAAGCGCTTCCAGAAGGCTACAGAGATGGGGGAGCTCTTGAGGCCATGGGACAGGAAAGGGAGCAAACTCGCTAACAGGGCAAACGGGCAAAGAATCAATGGGACACCTGTGCTGACTTACTGCGTTGACTCAGTTGTCATCATGAGCCGTAATTGTGAGTCAACGAGTCTGTTGTTCCTTTCCAGCTTTCCTGTCGTGACCACAAGACTGCCAACCAATCGCCAGTTTTTCAAGTATCAAAGGTTGGTAGGGTTGTTAGCCGTGTGGAATCCTTCAAATCTCCTTGACGCGCTCCAGCCACAATCTGACGATATTTCTTTAGGGAGCCAGTATGAAAAGATGTGCAGCACTGCCTGTCACTGAACATTTGACACCACTTACTTGCATCGATATAAAACGCAGACTATATAGTTCTTATTTTGCCAGCCTTGTCCCCATATTCCAGGTGGCGGTCCAGGTTGGATTATACCTTCTGGTTCCGAAACATGTCGGATTTGTGGTTGTCCGGTTGTTCTTTCTTGCACAAGTTTGTGGAATCACAGTGGCCCATAGGCTCCATTTGCATAAACAGGCACGTAAGACTCAATTTGTTTGAAAACAAACAAATATTCCAATGACACAGTGTTGAGGTTAAGTATGCAGCCTGTCACAGGTGCCATGAAGTTCCTGAGCTACCTGCAACCAGGCACGAGTTGGTTGGGATAATTTACCAGCAAGTCATTTGGATGCAGGTGAGGAATGATAAGCCAGCTTCGAAGGTATGTTACAGTTTTCACATGTTTGAGAAACGTACAAGACCGATCTTGAACTTATACCTGTTGTGTTGTTCTGTGTCATTTGTGTGAGTCGAGCAACCTGCGTCAGTCTACCAGCCTGCCTGCAACTTTACAAAGCATCACTCATCACTATTTCTTGTTGCTGTAACCTCAGACTTTTCAGCTTGTCCATTTGTTCACTGACTTTCAATAGTCGATCTTTCTATCATTTTCCAGGAGGTTCTGGGTCCAGAGCGTCCGGTCCTGTTCCGGGTTCCCTCTGCCGGGTTCCCGTTCCTGGCAGATGGCGTTTGACCTGGTGTGCTCCAAGTGAAGAGCATCAGGTGGAGGTGAGACTCTCGGTGTCTGCCGTGGGAAGACTCGTGGCGAGTGCCCCAGCTCACGCCTCACTGGGTCCCGCTGTGGCAGCAAAAGATAACTAAAGATAACATAAAAGACCATAACTACAAGACCCCTGCTGGGCCAACATATGCATCCATCTCTCTCTCTCTCTCTATGTAGCTAGAATATTCTTTGGACATCATCACAGTTTACATGGCCCAGGCTGTATGCCATCATTTTGGTTTCCGTCGGAAAGGATCAGTGGAATCGTCGATTTCACTGCACAAGGCACAAGGATCCTTTGACCCTTTGCGTATCAACGCACGTGCCAAAAATCCTCTCCTGTTTCTAGCACAGGTGGCACCTTGTAGCCAGGCCCAGGCAAAAACGGTCCCTTCCAATCAATGAATTGTGGATAAATTACAAAAAACTAAAAGGATGACCCAAATGACCCAAACAAATCAAGGTTTCTGTCGCGTCGATTGACATTGCATGTCCTAAGCGTCGGTGATTTGCCACTAGGTTGGTGATTTGCTCATCACGCATCCTTTGTCGGGGCTCTTCCAGGACGCGTGCGGGCGGCCCAAGAAAGTTAGGCAAGGCATTAACCTCCAAGAAAGCATGAGCATGGGTTTTTGATTGTTTCTCTAGCAGAGTTTTTGGGAAATTAGGGCAGCAACTCCAGACTAGACAGAAGAAGCATCGTGCATACCGCCTACAATCAGGTGATAGAGAAGTGCAGGATAGCAGCTAGGAGGGAATGAGGGAATGACTTGTTCTTTGTGGGTCATTGACAGAGTCAGAAAGCATCCCAACAAGTCAGAAGTGTATAGTCAACAAGCGCAACGACCCCTGCTTGGGGCTTCTTGTGGCAGCGAAGTTGCCAGGGATCCAAAGGGCACATTTCTTGGAGCAAAATTGAGGAACCTTGCCGCCAATTTCTGCTTGTTAATTGCGCCCAAAAGACGGTCGCTGGTCCAACAATTACTCATTTCACTGCCTAAATATCCCGATGGTTGTGGGTGATAGCGGGGATTTCCCAAAGTGCAAGTACCGTGGTGAGCTGTTGAGATGAGGAACCTACACTTGGAATTCCAAGAAGCATGGTGGCAAGGCCCTACAGTCAGCTTGCAAATCCTCAGATTGACCAAGTCCTGAACGCTTGAGGTTTGACCAGGGAGTGCTCTTGGTGGTGAAAGTCAACCAGGTCAGCTGCACTGGTTTGCTGGAATGTCGGAGGGCATACAGGCTTCCAAGTCAGGAGTGGACAAAGATAGGTTCCAACGGACCTATGGAATTTAGTTTTGACATTGATCTCCTCTCATGGAACTAGTTGCTGCAAAAAAGCTCACGTGGCTGGAGACCGAAGGACCGGAGACCGAAGGCCGAAACCAATGGACATCAAACGACATCGGAATACAGATGTAAAAACATGTATATAAATAGATCCGATGACCAAACTTTCACAAGAGTACGATTGCAAGAGGACCGGACGACCACCGAAAGACGACCCCCATGAAACTCGGGACCGCTCCATCGCGGCAGGAAGCCAAGTTGATCCAGGCCTTGGTGCTCAACAAGGCGCCTGGGGCCAGTACTGTGCCAAACCCAAGCACGCAGAAGCGCACACACAAGTTCAGATGTACATACCTGCCAACTGATGTCAACAGCAAATGCTAGAAATATTCCTTTACCCAGACTGCAGTTCTTGTTTAAACGAACTTGAAGACTGCGATTTCACATCACATGAAGCGTGTTATGTAGCAGCTGAAAGCGTTCAGTTTCACAACAGATAGCGGCTCTTTGTAGGCAAAATTGGGCCCAAGTCATAGAAGTAGCAGCTTCTCCGATGGCATATGAGGAGAGGCACTCACTACCATATACCTTTGAAGTCAGGGTCCATGCCATGAACGGACAAAGCTTCCAGTTCTTTATGGACAAGTTTGCCATGATTGGTGATGTGAAGCAGAGGCTGAGTGCGCAGTTGGTTCGGAAGTTTCACGAAATGAAGCTGGTCTACGATTCCAACGAGCCTGACATGTTTGACAAGGTCAGCAATTACCGAAATAGCCGAGGTGTTGTTGAGCTCACCCTTGTCATGAACCGCATTTGCAGGTGGTGCAATGTGCCCCTCAATGAGAACGAGCTCGGTGATTTTTGTGGAACACCCTGCTATGCCATCATGCAGCGTGAGCTGCAAGATCCCGAAAGTTTGTTCGTGCTCTTCGGTGTGAGCGCCGACATCGGCTTGAGTACTTCACTGCACTACGCAGAGCCTTGGGAGCACCAAGCCTACTGAGCGACTGTCGGGACCTGACGACCTGACCTTGCAAGAATTCGGAAGTCGCGCCCGCGGCTTCAGGGCTGCCAATGTCAAAGACACGAATGACACGGGCCTGAGCAGGCTGCGATGTTAAAAGAGGCGCAGATATCCATACTGTCGACGGACAATGTCCACAGTACCTCATAGGGTGTCTAAAGAGGCGCAGGCTTCCTCCCATCAACATTAGCAGCATGTTCCCTGCCGGGTCGCTGGAACACTACATATTTATACATATTTACGATTCAACTTTCACAGGCCTTGCACACCGAACCCAGAGAAACATGAACTATTTGCACGATTCGATGGAATAGCAAGAAGACCTTACTGCTAGCTTGGGGTGATAGTGTGAGAGGAACCTGAGCCATCTTGGCTCTAAGTAGCAGGATGAGATGGACTAACAGCATAGCATCATATAGCATCAAGCGTGTGGGCCTCGATACCAATCGAGAGGACCTAGCAGGTTTCTAGTACCGAGGACGTTTTCGTGGAGCTCCTAACGAATTTGTCAATCTGCTTTAGAACTGAACATTGATCTGTGATTCGTGCAAGGCCTCGGAGGAGACCCTGGCCGACCAGCCTTCAGCCAGGCAGAAACAGGAATGCGGTGGAGTGCTCTTTTAATCCCTTGTAGCTGGCTTGCATCAAGACAAATCATTCCCGGCGTAAGTTCCGGCAATGATCCTGAACTCAACTGCTTTGTGTTTACAGCAACCTGATGTACATATATATATATATATTATTTTTTTACGCTCTATGAAATTCTTGTACCCATTGGGCAGGCCCGAACAAGGCACTGGGTTTCTTGCTTCTTGTTGCCAGGGGAGCACGGCTACCGAACCAACCCATTTTTCGAGGCAGGGAGCTTGGAGCGGCTGCCAGGACCAAAGATTAGCACATATGCCTTATGACTCTTAAAGGTAGGAGAAGATGGCTACTTGATGCTACTTCTAGATGTATTCTTTCCTGCCCCAACAAGAACGGTCAGTTGTTGTCTTCCAGTGGCCCAACAAGTCCATGTCCGTGCCAACGCAGAGAACCGAGACAGATACAGATAAATAAATCGCTGCTTGCGGCCGAGGTGGACCCGTAACGAAAGGCGACGCTGTTTGGCAACCTGACCTTGCGTACCTACACTGTTGCTTGGCACCTACTAGCCTGACGCTGTTTGATGCGGTCGCTAGTGTGGAAGGAACCTGATCTCTGTCCGACCCAAAGCATTCATCGTATTTTCATTGTCATGTAGACCATCGAACTACCTTCCAAAGCATCCCAAAGGAATTAAACAATAAGCAACAAGAACCGTTATTTAAAAGGGGTCAGTACAAAACACGAGGTTTTGATGAACACTATTGAACACTGGATGTTTTTGAATAATAATTTGTTTCAGGATGTTTCACTGACCCCTTCTCATCCTGTCCCACCATTCCGCTCACAGCAAATCATGAATTCAGGCTACGTGCTACTTAATTTATCAAGCTTGAACCCATGGGAAAATATAAGCAACCAACATGATTGTGTTTTCAAATGTGTATAAGCCAACAAACAATATGTAATGAGGTTGCTCGGTTAGTCAGCGTGAATGATTGAGAACCTCTTTCTTCCAGCTGTTCTTGCATCGCTCAATATTAAGGGTGCATCCCCTGAGCATGGAAAACCTGTCTATGGATCTAGGTATACCAAGTTTTATAGCAAAACGTATACAGTAGTCATAGCGCAATCCTTGAATTGTTCAATCAGTGTTCAAACGTGTGAGACTCCAATTTGGGTCTGAGGGAGCCAAGGGAGCCAATGCCTGAAATGCAATTGTATTCAACCTAAGAGCGATGGCCTCCAACCTACTAGCGATGGCCTCCAACCAAATAGCAATGACCTCCAACCTACTCAAACAAACAACAAACATTCAAGGCCGTGCATCTTCATGCTGTGCACATTTATACGCACATTTCAGGCCTTGCGTTGCCAATTCCAGCGCCCTGAACTGCAGCTTGATATCACTTGAGACTCTGTAGGCGCTGTAGAGTACCATCTCACTTGGTGCGGACCACAGCAACTCATCACATGTTTAGGAGTACTTTCATTCACTTCCTGGAACTCTACACGTGAAATGCGCATCAGACACGCAAATCAGTGCTCCAAGGTCAAGGGGACGCACTTGGGACCACTCCGCATCGAAGCTGCATTTTGTGCACACGGGGATTGGGGAGTTTCGTCAATTTCTATATCGACTGGTCTTTTTGGGGGGCAGGTAGGCCATTAAGAGTCAGGAGGTAGCATCACTTGAAACTACAAGATGCAGGGATTCATGATCGAGCAGGTTCCTAGATGTCCAGCAAATTATATATGTATATAAACCAATCGTGTTGTATGGCAGTTGTTCCACTCTTGTGTGTGCCGATCAACATCCAAGAAGGCCTTTTCTACTTCACTGTTGACATCTATCGACATCTCATTCCATTTCACTAATACCATTGAGATGTCATGGGATTCCATGCAGATAACATTTTGACAGGCTTCGCCTGGGCCTTTGCTCTGGTGGAGACCTGGGACAATTGCAGACTCCGTTGCGCTTCTTTAAGGAGTGCCGTGTTCATTCATTTTGAGCTGGTGTTCAGTCTCGGACAAACAGCAGCACCATGACCCCAATTTGTCCAACTGTTTTTCATCAGGGCCCATTTTGTTCTGACCTCTATTCTCCACAGTCATCAGATAGGCACATGAAAAAGGCAAGAAACCACGTGAAGCTTGAAGCACAGCATAGTATATTATATACAATAATTCTACATCTAGACTTTTGGACTTTGTGAACTGCACCTGTCCCCTGGAACTTTGAGACCTTGAGATGTTCAGACCTGTTTACACACTACCTGTTTTGCTCAGACAATTTGTTCACTTAGGCTTCTTCAGGGCAAGTGGCTTTCAGACCGTACGTACGCATTTTCCCAAGTGCGTCAAGCGACAAGATGTCTAAAGTCTAAAAGTGTCGGCCGCATGTCGAACGGTAGCACTGCGGAGGGATGCGCTGCATGGGCCACAGAGCAGCTGAAGATCGAGCTGGAGCGTGGGGTTTGGGTACATGCTCGACCAGGCCCAGAGTTTTAAACAGGCATAACCTATGTGAGAATTTTGTGAGGGATGGTGATTATCTTCCAGAATTTTCTAATATTTTGAGTGAACTTGGGTTGATGTGCGAAGGACGTTGACAAAAACACTATTATGTTGGTTTGGTGAAGAGTAAGATTCACTAACACAACTACGTTGCCTGTGGTGGACCCATCTAAATGAGTTGGGGTTGCCAATTCAAGAAATTATTGCGAAAACACATTCTTTACGCGGAAACACTTTTGTTGCTTACAGGCTTCCATCGCGGAGGCCAGGAAGCGCTTCACGGCTTGGCCTTGGAGGCCGATCTCGGAGCTTTGAAAATTAACCCCTAGTAGCGTCCTTGTTCCTAGTAGCGATGCCCTTTTGCTCCTAGTGGCTCCTCTACCTCTCTTTCCTTATCTATTTGGAAACTCTCCGCTCCGCAGCTTTCTAGTTGGACTGCACTTCTAGCTGTTCGTTTGTGAAAGTTTTAGAGTTTGTGGAAGACTTGGATTTCAGGGAAACTCGTTCAGGAAACTCGTTGCCCTCAAAGGACTCAAGCAAAGCCAACCGTTCTGCGCAAAAACCATGTTTTTCGTTGAAAAGGCCTCAGGCAGCTTTGCCTGGCGTGCAGCACTGATGGCTGCGGGGCTGCCAGCGACCCTCGTCGTAAAATCATTGGTCGGCCCTCAAGGTGCGAGACCCTCCTGGCACTACGATCGGACGCTACTCGGGGCTCCTGGCCTTACTACTAGGAACAAGGACGCTACTAGGGGCTCCTGGCATCGCTACTAGGAGCAAGGAAGTCTCAAGACCAAAACAATTCTTTTTGGCACTGTTGACGAAGAAGAGGAAGAAGAAGAAGAAGAGGAGAGGAACAATACTAAACCAACAAAAGGGAAAACGGAAAACACAATTCTGTGTGACATGCCACCTATCGGTAGCATTACAACTTCTTGGCACCCAAGGCGACCCATTACACTATTCATCATGCAGCTAGATACCGTATTTTGCAAACATAATATGTTTTCCATCATGGCATCTATTAATTTCGGATTGAACTTTGTTCAAACTTCATCGCTTGCACACAGCAGTCAGATTATAATTGATAAACTTTGACATGGGTCAGGGGCCTGAGTCAGTCAGTCTGAAGATCCTGCCAGAAGGGAAGAGGTAGCCTTTCCTCAAAGCCATGCCAGCCATGAATGGTCGCATTTGGCCACATGCGATCTAATGGCCCAGGTTGGCAACCTTTCCTCGAAGCCCAGAAGTGGACGTGCAGTTGAAGGAGCAACATGAAAGTCCGTGGCGGTGCGTTCTGAGCAATATGATCAGGGAGACATGTTATTTCAAAATTCGTCTCGCTCAGCAAACCAAAGGAAGTTTTATTCGTGCGAGTTACCCATCCTTTCTTGCCTGGCGTCAGGAGTATGTGACCGCACACCAGCGGAGATTGGCCATGGAGATGCATCAGCTGCACCAACAAAAAGGGACCCTCCGAACTGACTTCCAAGCATCCTTCCGAACCATCTCCATTTGTGTGCGGTTAGCCTCAGGTCCTTGGGTCTGCTGAAAGTGTTTAGGTTGATGGTGACATTATCATTTTTGCACCTTTCAATGACAATGCAGAGTGTCCACAATGGAGGAACAGGCAAGGTGTGAAGTATCCTCAAGTTCAACTTGAATGAAATCCTGCCTAAGTGGTTGATGTCTAAAATAGGACCCCACTTCACAGTTCTTTACACTGCTGACCAGCTACCAACAGTCACACGAGCTTGCCAAATCCATCGGGACCCAGAGCTTGCGGCAGGGCCCAGCACCGAAAGGTTGGAATATTTTGAATGGTGTTGGTGCCATTTCATCCTCTCATATATGAAACAACCGCGGCCAAGTCAATCCAACAGTTTATGGAGATCCCACGGAAACATAAAATTGTGTGACATCCTGAAATTCACCAGACCAGACTTTGCAATGCAGCTATGCACCCGTGCAAAGCAAGTAGCGGCTGTTTCATGCTTCAGCGCTTCACCTTTGGAGTGGAATAGACATTGTGAGATTGTTCTTACATGCAAAAACACACACACACACACATTGAGAGTAGTCTTTGGGTGGTTTTGGAGGTCCGCTTGCACGGGCGAATCTGTCCAAGCCAGTGAGGGGCTCAGGATGGCCAATGTCTTGGTCACCGAAGGCGCTGGTAGGAGATGTGGACAGAAGCCTTTTGCAATCACCATATATAATCGCTATGAAGTCTCCGCAAGATGGGGGTGAGTCTCCACAAACAGTCTGCAAACGGCCTTGATCGGAAGACCCTGCCCAGTGACTGCACTTGTATATCCTTTGTTCCTGGGATTCCTGGATTTCTGGGATTCCTATGTTGCGAGGTCAAAGGCCATTTTCAATGCGCCAGAAGGTGATAGCATCAGTCCGGTAGCCTGGACCCTGCCTGTAACGGGGGCGCTCCTGTCACTGATTTCGTCATGAGCTCCAACCTAGAAGCGATGGCCTCCATTCTAATAGCGATGGCCCGGTGAAAGCAAGTGAAAAGCATGCTTGGGCTCATGCATCGGGTCTGCCATTCTGAAAACATCCGCCGGTCTTGAGTTTGCTTCTCTGACGACATTGCACCTTCCGGATCTCATCCTAAAAGTGTAGATTCAGCGTAGAGTCTGTAGATATGTATATACATGTACACATAGAATGCCCTCAAACAATAATACTGCCCCATGCAATCTGAATTGTTTCACATTTTGACTGCTGCCTAGTTTGAGTGAGTCACAGCAGCTGCTTCAGGGACTTGCTTGAGATACATAGGCATATTCGAGAACTTCTTTCCCAATCCCGAGAAGTGCAGCCATATTAAGTTTGCGATTTATACTTGCACTGCAACTTAGCCGTACCATGAGATTGTGTCAAATCAACTCTCTGGAAGGCTTGCTGTGATTTCAATGTCACGGGTAGGTTCTCTACCAAAAAGCCAGCTTGGAATCCTAGATCAATTCTATAAGGTTCACAGCTTTGGAGGCACACTTCCTGCCCGGCGCCATGGGTTGGCGCGCTCATGGATATGAGATAGCTGGAGAGTGCTCTCTCAGTGCGGAGGACTTGCGGTGCAAGTGGCAGCGAGCCATAAAAGGCACGTCTGACCGTCTGAGGGTTATCAACCGAAGTCACGGACCCGAAGTCTAAATGTTGTGATTTAAGCCTCTTGAACAAAAGGTCATGCCCTCTGCAGGTGCACCAGCAAAGCTCTCCAGATATGCATCCTTGGCGCCTCTAGCAGATGCGCCTGACGTGGTGGTGCGGGAGCCTAGTGACCTAGTGCTTGAGATGTGAGACTCCCCTGAACACCCTCTATATTTGAAGCAGAAGCTGATGAGACATGGACAACTCCCACGTGATACTCGATAGGTTGAAACTGGTTGAGACTTTCCTACTTTCACAATTCTTGTGGATAGTGCCACGGTTGACTTTTCTTGGTGTTGGGCATGCAGTCTGTGTGAAAGCGTCCGGATGATCGCGGATCAGATCTGCTTGAAGCATGAAGTTGATACAGATTTGTAATCATTTCTCCAAAAAACCACAAGCATCAACAAAATAGTACTGTATTTCAGAGAAACGCTACATGTGTTCAAAACTACAGACAGCTTCGCTTCAAACGGTTGTCCTTTGTTTTAAACGTCGAGACAAACAAATCAACACCAAGGAGAGACTGAAGGAGTCTAGCATTTGGCAGACAAAGAAGGTACATAGGTAGTATAATGGTGTAGAACAGCTCGCTTAAAGGGGGCCTGACCTTTCCTTGCCGAATCCTTCTTTAGATCTAAAGGGACTGATGGCCCTACAACCAGCGACCTAAACGTCTCATTTGTGTAGCACGTTATTGTTTCTTATAAAAGCGCTCCTGAATTTGTGAGCTGCTCTTGCTTTAGCCCCGGACCAAGAAAGACCCTTGTCAACCGATGAACAGAATGACAAGAAGTACAAAAGCTGACATGTAGTCGCCACTATTCATTGTCCGATGCAGTAGGAGGCGTGGGACACCAGCACGTTCCGCTTCTTGGATAGCAGCAGTTGTATAAGGGGTGGGCATTAATGACTTTGGATTTGCCAGCATAGTCTTGTAGGCATGCGGGGAATGGGCTTCAGCAACTTCAGCTACAGCTCACCATTCACAGTTGCAAACACGTCTGCAAGCATTTTTCTACTCACAGCCACTCAAGCAACAAAAAGATGAGTTCATCTGAGAAGGGATATCTCCCAGAGACACAGCCAGACGAGTTTGTGATGGGGCACCTGCACGCCTGGGGGTGACCTTTACACCCAATGGCATTCGCTCGGTGATGCGGGTTGCTGTGGAGCTGGGCGAAGTGTGGAGGGAGCGACTCACAGACCTGGCATGTCGTGATTTGAAGACGCGCCGACCACTTCTGTCAGGACCAGTGCGGGTTTCCAAAACTATGGGGTTGTATGCTGCAAGCTCTCTTCTTGTCTACTTCGTGCAGACTACTTTCAATCCACTCCTGTAAGTTTTGGTTTTCATTTGCATTGCGTGATCTGACCGTGTTCTCTCATATTTTTTTCCTGGGTGTATGGCCGGACACCGTGTATGTATGCTCATAGGCTCATAGAGAACAACGGTAATTGAATATAATGTAGGATCCTGATTAGTAAAGGGGGGCCCCCAAAAAAACATGTATAAAAAATTGATCCTGAGAATATTTTACATTTCATATCATAGCAGTATAACAACTCAACAATTATGCATAAAAAAGCATAACAGTCAAAAAAGTCAGTTTAAATATTGTTGATGGCTTCATTTTCTCTCAACAATATCAAAACATTCTTACCTCTTTCATTTTTTCAAAATCATCACTACTAATCATAGATTACCTCTTTCATTTTTCAAAATCATCACTACTAACCATATTATACCTCTTTCATTTTTTGAAAATCATAACAGACAATACATCATTACCTCAATCATTTTTACAAAATCCTAACTACTGAGCTGTTCTAAATTTCTTTGATGCTTCTCTGTTTTCTTATGTTTATAGTAATTTGCTTGGGTCATTGAACAATTACAAACAGAACAACTAACAATTTTAGATTGAAATGTTTTATTGTAGTCCTGCTTCGTTTTTCTATATTCCTCATCTTCTTCATATCTTTTTCTTTGAACCTCATTTCGTCTATGTTTATGTTTGTTATAACTGGTTCTTTGATCTGATAAGCACATTTTACAAGTTTTTTATCCTTCATTAAATTATTAATGTCCATAGTTCTTTCACAAGTTTTACAGGTTTTATCTTCCATAAATATTAAAACAGTCATTTTCTTAAATATGTAGTTCAGATTTATCTTTTTATTCATAGAAAATTACAACACCCAATACCCAAAACCAAACAACAAGCCAACAAACAAAGAAACAGACAAAGCAAAGAACAAAATACAAACCAAAACAAAGAACAACAATAAAGAAAATTCCTTAGTCTTTAATAATCCCGTCTTAACAATCCATAAATCTAATAAATAATATTATTAGAATTATGATGAGTAAATGTCTTCAATAATTACTAATTTAAAATGAAATGCCTGTATTCCTATTATACTATCTTTATCTTGGTATTCTTCTATGTCGGTCTGTATTTCTTCAACTGCTTTCTCTAACATTGTCTCTATATTATCTTCATCTAAATATTCATCAAAGTCATTCATAAAATAAATCTCTCTACAACTAAATTCATTTTCTTCATATTCTTTTTCTGGGAGTTTTGCCGTTAATTGAACTTCATCATCAAGTTTAATAACTATAGTTTAAATCATCTTCTACTTCTTCAAAAATTAAAGATAATAATTCTTCTTGTTCTTCTGTTATTATGTCTTTTATACTTGTCAAACTAAATGGCACTCCCTCTCTCATAATACAGTTCATAATACAGTATTCAATTATGTATATCTTTTTCTTGATTTCACATGTCTTGTTATTTTAGGACCGTGTCTTGAAATCTTATATTTGTTTTGTATTCTCTTTAAGGCCTCAATATGGTTATATTTGATTTTCAAGTATTTAGGGTCTCCAATTTTATAAGAAGCAATTTCACTCGACACATCAACGGGCAAATCCTTCACACAATCCATCCTACTAATATACTTAATTAAATAACCATTTTTAAAAATTTTAAGTATATATTCAAAGATTAAAATATATCATTCATTAAAAACTACTTAAAGATAAATTTACTAAATAAAATATATACTATTATATGATGAAAAAAGTTATAGACTATCTTTTGAAAACTAATAACGCAGAAATACAGAAAAGAGGAAGAAAAGAATTGAAAACAATAGTAATAGACAACAAGAAATTTAGATACAACAGTTCAACAAAGACAAACCCATATCTAATGTTTTAACAAAGAAATTATTATCAGTGAAGAAAACTAATGAATACAGAAGTTATGCTTTAAACAAGGCAAAGGATGCGTTTAGTGAAGGAAAAGTCAGAAACTTGCTAACCAAACACGCAATACAAAACAAATTTAAGGTCAGAGATATTCAGTCAGCATTTAGAAGATATGCTAATTCAACCGTTTTAGAAAACAAACACTTTGAAGGAGAAAGAGGTTTAGAAATGATTGCTCACCAAAAACCAAGACTATTAGAGTATTTAAGAAAGAATAGAAGCATGAAACTTAACATACGAACGGAAGGATTATTCGAAAAACCTGAATATGATGATGGAGGTAATGAATTGGCAGTCAGGAACTTGTATATGCTTCACCATCAACACGCTTCAATATTAGTAACGAAGATGAACTGACACAGGCATTAGAAGATAGTGTTAAACAAATCTTATTACAGATACAAAATTTAGAAGCATCAGCATCTAATTTACGCTTCAAAAAAGTTTTGTCAATAACCATTCATTATGACAAATATGACCCAACAAGAGCAGGGAGATACATAGAATTACCAGAATGGATTAAGTTAAAGAAGGCATGTATCAACATCAAGAACAAAGACCAAAAATGCTTCAAATATTGCATTCAATCCGTAGTCTATGACAAAATAAGCAAACATCACCCAGAGGAAATGTTTCACTATAACAAATTGAAAGATGATATTTTGAACTGGGATGGTGTAAATTTTCCATCTGGTAATAGGGACATAGACAGATTTGAAGAAAACAACAAATTAGTTTCAATAAATGTTTTTGAACCTGATGACTGCTTAAATGATAATAAAATCATATTACATAGAGGAACTAAAAATAGAAATGCTAAATATGAAATAGATTTGTTAAAAGTCTATGATGAAGATAATCACTATCATTATGTATTAGTAAAAAATAAATCTAGATTATTAAACTGTCAGAGCAGTAGCAACACTAATAAAACATTTTACTGCCACCATTGCTTAAATCCGTTTCAATCAGAAAAGGCATACAAGAACCATCTTGAAAAAGGATGTATGGCATCAGAAGGACAACAAACAAAGATGCCCAATAAAGACACTTATATAGAATTTGAAAAGCATAATACTAAATTGCCTTGTCCTTTTGTAATCTATGGTGAGTTTGAATGTCTAACCACTAACTCTAATACTGGCATAAAAGGCACATATCAGGAACATAAACCGTGCGGTTATATGTTGAATGTAGTAAGCAGGATTGATCATACATGCCAACCATACTTATACAGAGGTGAGGATTGTATGAAACAGTTTGTAGAAAAACTGACTGAAATTAAGAAAGATATATTTGAAAAAATGAATATGATTAAACCAATGGATGACTTAACAAACGAACAAACATTAGAGTTTAGATTAGCATCTAATTGCTCCATTTGTGGTAAGAAATTTGAACCTGATGATGAAAAAGTTAGAGACCACTGCCACTTCACAGGCAAATACAGAGGCGCAGCGCATGTAAAATGTAATCTGGATTATTCATTTAGATATTTTAAAATCCCTATCTTCTTCCATAATCTTAAAAACTATGACGCACACTTAATCATTGCAAAAGCAAATGAACTAAACATAGAACTGAACCAAAACAAAAGAATAGATGTAATAGCACAAAATAGCGAAAAGTTCATAAAATTTGCGCTTGTCAGTTTAAAGACAGTTTTGCTTTCTTAACGGCATCATTGGATAAGTTAGTTAGACTAAACAAATATGAATGAGTTGAAAAGATTAAAGACTGGGAAACTCGTTTCAGATATACAAGTACCAACCCATATATCAAATCTAAAACTGATTTGAACTTACTGACTGATAAGGGTGTATATCCCTATGACTATATGAATTCGTGGGATAAATTTGATGAAACAAAACTGCCAAAGAAAGAAGACTTTTACAGTCATTTGTATGAAGAACACATCACTGACAAAGACTACGCCAGAGCAAATATTGTATGGAAACATTTTAACATAAAAAATCTTGGTGAATATCATGATTTGTATTTGATGACTGATGTATATTTACTGACGGATGTTTTTGAACATTTTAGAGATATGTGTTTGAACTATTATGGATTAGACCCAGCATATTATCTGACTTTACCTAATTATTCACTAACCGGAGTTAGACTTCAACAAATCCACATAAAAGAAATGTATGAGATGATTGAACATGGATTAAGGGGAGGAATGACGCAGTGCTCCTTCAAGAAAGTAGAAGCAAACAATAAATACATGAATGAAGATTATGATAAATCTAAACCATCATCATACATAAGTTATTTAGATGCTAACAACCTTTATGGATTAGCAATGTGTAAGAAACTGCCCTATGATGATTTTAAATGGTATTACGGCAGAATGGATGAAAAAAGGGTAATGAAATATAGTGATGATGATGACATAGGATACATATTAGAAGTTGATTTAGATTATCCAAAGGAACTTCATGATTTACATAAAGACTATCCATTAGCACCTGAAATCATGAGTATCAGTGAGAATATGCTTTCACAAGTCCAAAAGGATATACATAAATACTATTATGGAAAAGATGCCAGTGATGAAAAGACAAATAAGTTAGTATTAAATGT